CTAATTCTCCGGCCGTTCTGACTGAATATCCAATTATCAAGGTCAGTTTTGTTTTCCCTTTTCTGTTTCATAACTCTGCCATTCGAAAAACTACAAATGCATGGCATGCTATATCTATTTTTTTAATTCTTCTTCACTGAGCATTAGAGTCAGCCAGTCATTATAGTCATCTTTTACTTGATTTATTTCATCTTTAGCCGTTTGATAATCGAATCAATCTATTGTTGCACTTTTCTTTTCGCTATAAATATGGTCCGATCTCATTCCTCGAATAAAAAATATCCAAAGTCTGTTTCCAAGCTGATTTTGTTTACAGCTTAACGGTCTCATCGCGTTCATTAAGTATGTGGGTTTTTAAATTTTCATTCAGACCTTTTGCAGTTTGATTCTTTCAAATTTGGATGTTTTTTGCTTAACGTCAATCAAAAATTTAATAATGTGCCAGATAATAAGAGGAACTGAATGATACTCACATTTCTGAATTCCAGTTTTCTTCTTTTATTTTCGACATCTTATATGGTTAATTTATTCCGTTGGATTTCTCCATGTTGACATGATTGAGGTATTCAACGACAATTGGTGAATTCGAGTAGTTTTTAGAAAATAAACCACGCCGCATTAAAAGAGGGTCTCAAAGGGGTTTAACCGTTTTCTATTCTTAACCGTTAGCCATAAAACGGTCCGAAAACTAAACTTTCAGCCGTAAAAAGCTCAAAAAATTTAAACGTTAGTTGTAAACGCCACTATACCCCGTCGAGACCCTCTTAAAACGGTTGGATGAAAGTTTGCATTTGCATTTCGAAATTATCACGAACTTTGAGAACAGAAATATCCTCCTATTTGAAAAAGATGAAACTTAACGTGCACGAAAGAAAACGCACACGCCCCTTTTCAATTCCTCAGACAACTTTTTTTTTTTTTTATCTAAATGCAAATAAAAAGCAGGGAAAGTATATATATCAGAAAAGTTACTCGATTAGCCTTTTTGGTGTGTTCACTTGGGAAGCTGAGTGAGGGACAACTGTACCATTTAGCGAATCGCTGAGTGAGGGACAACTGTACCATTTAGCGAATCGCTGTTGTAAGTTATTTTTAAAACCGTTAACATCAATACTGCAACGTTGTTGACAAAGGGCCGACTGCTCGAAACGGGCGTCAGCTTTAGAAACCCTTTACGTTGGCCAATTACAATTATCAACTCAGTTGATAAAGCCAAATCATCTCGTAATATTCTTACCAACGCAGCACCACAGGTCCTTTTTGAAACTTACCATAGTGTTATTCATTGGTTGTTTACTAAAATTGATATGTTCAAATAGTTTTGCGAACGTTTTACTCATTACGTCTTGCAAGGCGAGCCGGAAATGTTAGTAATAGACTTTTTAAAAATTTTCCGAAATATTGCTTTTGATTTCATCTGTCACGCTGAACGTATTTTGCCACAAGGTGATAGCCTAAATGAAAGGGTTCGGACGCTTTTAAACGCAATCAAGAATGATGTCAGATCAGATGATAATCGAAGTCAGTATATATCCTAAATATACACCTGGTTGAGGAGCAAACTTTAATGTCGGAGACAAAAACAATATAGTCGTTTACGACGGAACACCTACAAGGATTCAGGGAAAAGGCTATCGAGAGTTAACAGAATTACGGTTTACTCTCTCACGAAACAATTTTTCATCATTAATATTCTGAGCAAACTCTCTTAGGGGAGATCTATCCACTAGTACCAGCACAGACAGTTTTACTCAATTGCTAGTGAACGGCGAGGTTGAGTACGTTTCACGCACGAATTTTAGAAAAATTCACGCATCGCGTCTACTTTGAACGGTATTTCTCGCGTCAAGAATTTCAAAGGGAAACTTCAAATCCCTCCTCTTGTGAAATAGAACACATTTTAGTTTTTTCTTTAATCAATTTCAAGTGTCAAATATAAACCCTCAAATTGTCGAGTGGTGAGAGAGGTCAAATCAAGGTAATGCGTCCCTGATAGTCACAATGCACCCACTCAGCTCGTTTTTAAGACGTTGCGTATCATATCATCATAAATACTCAGTAAAACCATTTGTTCAATTCTACTCAAATAATAAAATATGAGTAGAAAGGGCCTTCATTAGCTTTTTCGCTCAGTATTCACCGAAACAACATCCTAAAATTAGAAAGTTAGTCGATTCTAAAAGTGACTCTTCTTTAAATGTACTCGTCAAAATGGGGATGCGGAGTTTAATTCTTGTATTTATGTAGGGGACTGAAGCTCCTCCCCCGCCCACCCTTCGCTCCGGTCACACCTTTCCCTGTATCCGTCAGCTGAGAAATGGATGTTAATGTCAAACGGTAAAGTGCTTCACAGAAAGGCAACTGATTAAATATTTTAACATAGGCTCTTTACTTTCTTTTAAAATGAAAATCGTGAAACTGTGCTATTCTACCAGTGCCGGAGTATCTGAAAATCTTAAAAAAGCGATCTTTAATATATATTTACCAAAGCGAATAATCCAACTACGAATACTTAAGCAACGAAACTTAATCTGATAATTTTGCAACGTTCAATGCGGATATAGATGACAGTAAGAGCGAGATAACTCCGTCACGTATTTTCATAAAAAGAAAGAAAAATGATACAATTACGATTATTTCACCCTGATTTTGTGTTTCAGAATCACACTTCATTGTCTTGGAAATCGCAATCAACTTTCCTAAGAACACGATGATTCATTTATACCCGCTTTTTTTAGGAGCCACTTATTAGAGATGTTTTGAGTGCGCACGTATGTTTCATGCAAATTTTCCGGTAATTGAAGGTAAAGTGGTTGCATCCCCAGTTCAACAAAGCCTACCGCCAAAACTGAGTGGATTTTCTTTAATAAACTAGCTTTCACTTTAATACGTTTAACTTTTAAAACGTGACTCATAATATTTTTTGTATTGTCGAAAGTGTCAATCAACATCAAAAGAGAAGAAGAAGAAAAATAAGTTGATTGCAGTTCCTCGACTACTTTAAGAACTCAGGGCCATTCCCTGATAGTAAAATCAGTCAAAATGAAGGAAGATTACACAACTTATATACTAAAGTGTTTTTGCCTATTTACTAAGCGATCAAGTGAAACCAAATAACAAAAGCTTTCTTGCAAGCTTTTAAGATTAAACATGCTCGAGATTTCGAAGGAAGCTGAAAAATTAAGACGGATTAATTCACGGAAAGGGAGGATAGTTTAGTTTAAGACTGAGTGTAAAATGACACAAGCATAACTATACGGTGAGAAATAAACAAGGAAGAGTGTTCACGAAGGGTTCAGTCGTAGTTGTTCGGTTCCTTGGCCTGTCGGCTGCGAAAATGAACGCTTCAGTTAAAGAGAGAGAATTGAAAGTTGAGAAAAAGAGTTTGGATCGCATAACCTCTTGGTTCTAATTATTCTCTTCCATCAACGCGAGAACGAGGTGGGTAGGTAGGTAGGTAGGGGGTAGGGTCTTGCAGAAAACTTCCTTTTTATTTTATGGATGATTTAAAGCTTTTACTCTGTACCAGCGTCACAATCGATTATTGATTATTTACCAAAGTTATCATCTGCTTTCACCTTACAGTCACGCCCTTTCACTATGACCTTTGAAAAGGCCAAGGGGAGAATCAGATAATATTTTAGAACTGACGCATTTCCTAATTAGTCGTCATCATTTGCATACATCTGTCTAGATAGAACTATATTTCAAGCGTCTGTAATCGACCAAAAAGACAGCGACTGGCCACCTTTTAATCTCAAAGATTTCTTTTAATTTAGATCGATCTGCACCATCATATATTTTCAAGGATCGCAGAAGATTGACACAAAAAGGTAATTGATGCCTTTACAATCTCATAACACATCCCAGGACACCTAACTCCCATTTGCTGCGTAAATTTTCGTTTTAGTTCGAGTGAAGTATTCAGGAAACAAGAACGGCGGGCGGCATTTGCTAATTACTAAATTGAACAAAGGCGTTCTTCAAAACAGTGGAGTTTTACATATCAAGGAATTAAACGCTTTTCGGAAAGTGAAACAAAAGTTTCAGTTTCGTTTTGCGCAGGTAAGTTTACTCTTTTCTTTTCTCGGCACATAGGTGAGCTTTCCTTTACGCAGAACCGAGAATATCGAAGCAAATGTATTGCAACTGCTTTTGACGAGATATTGATCCGTGTGTTTTTCTTTGGCCTAAAATTTAGTATTTCAGTCCTTAACTGAATCTGATTTCCAACGTCTCAGTTCTTTAGAACCTATATCTTCAAAACCTATCCTTCATTGCTTAAATCGCTCACTATTTTCTCGCCAATAACATGCTTGAGTTATACGTTTTCTGTGGAGTAATAATCTGTTACCATCTGCAGCGGCCCTTAAACGTTACTTACATCAACATATATATATAGAACTGACTTGAAGTTATTACAAAGATCGTGACAAAAGGAATCTTTTACAGGAAAATTTTTTAAGACGAGCAGATAATGTATTTTATAAACCTACGGCTAAAAGTCGTTATTTCCAACGATTTCTCTCGGGTAAACAGTTTTCGGCGAAATAGTTCGATGTCTGCAGATGAAGGAAGTCAAAGTGAAACGCCAAAATCACACGTATAAAAGAACTTAACAGAATTTCCTGTCGTTTTCTGTTACTGCTTTAATTAACAA